TAATGTAATGTAGCAGTTTAACAGAATATCTGAAATTGCAAGTGTTAGCTTAATTATAGCATGGTATATAAAATTAAGTTAGCTATGTGGGGGACATGGAAAGCTCTAGTAAGTTTCCTGTCAAGGATAAAATAATTATAAGAGTACTGATGAGCATCAAGTACTTTGAATAGGTTTAGTTCTGAAAATATCATATACAGAGGTTTAAATAGAGAATATCTATAGTTGGCTTGTAGATATGACATTTAATGTAGAACCTGTATAGTAATGTACAGGCAAATTACTTAAATTAGACATCAAAAGAACATATGTGATTAACTGTAACAAAAAAGTTCTTAAATATATATGTGTTCATACAGTTTGAATAAACATTATTTTCTAAAACAAGGATTTTAATTTTAAAAAAATTTCTTATTATATTTTTGGATTTTATTTTTTTTTAATATTAAACTAGTCTCTTTTGGGCCTAGGGTTTTATTTAGTAAATTAGGACATAGGTACTCATAGCTGAAGCCTCAAAGAAGTTACCTTATATTAGAGAGTACAACTAGCCACATATATATTTTTGGTGTCTAATTTAAGTAATCTGCTAATGGTTCTACATTAGCTGTTATACCTGCAACTCAACTAGGGGCATTGCTTATTTAAACTCTCTGTACTGCAATCCTTACTATGTCATTAGATTATTTCTAATACAAGCATCAGTCAATAAAGGTCTAAATACTTTTACCTATTTCTCTTAGGATCCCATACCTTATTTCATGCAGTGTATTCTCAGAAGCATCATTACTAGAGTCTTCTATGTTCTATACACAGCTGACCTAGTTTTATGTAATATGCTATAGTTATCTAACACTTGCAATTATAGGAGTTACTTGCTTAACTGCTATATTACCCTTATAAAGTTTATCCAAATCCTGATACCTATCTTTTTGACTTCTTCTCTTTATCCTTCTACTATTTAACTCAAAATCTGATAAACTTCTCAGACTCCTAATTCAGATAGCCTGATATAGTATACCTTAGTATCCTTTTCCTTTGGCAATTCTGGTAACCTAGTTGGTCATTTGCTCTTCTATATATCTTTTCATCTAATTACATTCACTTATTTCTTATTGGAGTTTTCTGGGTTTCCATTAGTCTAATAGTATCATCAAAAGTTTGTGCTACCTCTTTACTTAAGAATTTTCAAGTGAGCTTTTATCTCCTTGGTTTCTTGGACTTCTATATCTGGTAGTCTTATTGTAGGTTTGTACTGAAGTCTTATGCAATACTAGTTATTAACATTCCTTTATATACATGTAATGTTATACTTCACATAGATGCACTAGGCTCCTAATGACAAAAGAAACCAATTGGTTGTACCCAAGATTACAGATACCTAAATCCAACTGATCAACAAGAGACAGTTTACTATAATATAGGTTAATTACCAAATTTTGTCATAAGTAGGATTTGAACCTTAGATCTGCCACTTGAAGGATGACAACCCAACCACTACACTAGGATCACCATTCTCATTTTTGGATTTTATAATTTATTGCACATACAATATATTGCATCCTTTCTGTTATTTAAAAATTATTTTCTATAAAATTTTGATATAGCTTACATTTTTGCTTTATTTTAAATCTTAACACTAACTTTAATATTAATAAAATTTTATTTTTTGCTTTAATAAATATTTTTTTATAGGAATGCAATATTTTGCATCATGCAATAAATTATAATTTACTATATATTTTTTAATTTATTATAAATTTATTTTTTATTTATTTATTTATTTTTTTTTAACTTTAGCAAACTGTTAATGAAATTTGTTATATATTTTATCAAAGATTATCTATATATAAATCAAATTTAGTATAAAAAACTCTATTCTAAATCAACTAATTAGTAATTAATTTTATTAGCAAGGTTCCTTATATCAAAATTGACCCTATATACTAGTACAATAAGATTCTGATCTATACCTAACTACTTTTATAAATAACCATGTATATCTGCTACACTAGTCTAAAACTATTTATGCAAAATATTATCTTGATATAATAATTATCGTGGAAGCTTATAATGAACTTGCCCTATACTAAAAATTTTCCATATTTATTATAAAATTGTAAAATTTTTGAAGGCCTCTTTTGTGGTCTTTTTTTCATAATCATGTTAGGGTTAGGAGGTAATATTATTAATTAAAAAGTATATGTGGATTTTTGTAGTATTATAAGGACCCTTAATTTCAGCATAAGCCGCCACAATTATTATCATAATTCTATATAACAGAATCTATTTAACCTTTAGAACACCGGCATTTATAGATATAACATGATTGCGATTTTTTAACGATCGTAAGTCCTTTAAAAATGTGAACAAAATCGGGTATATCAAAAAACCAGTAACAATAAGTAAATTAACCAGAAATTTTCATGTGAAAGGATATGTGATTGTTCGTTGAGACGGCGCTTTAAAATGCTTTCAGACCCAAAATTTTAGATCTTTTGATATTATTAAAAGAATTAAAATCACATTTTTTATAGTAGTGAGTACATATTTATATTATAATCAAATGGGACTTTAGAATTAAATGGTGCCAATCAGAAAATGAAATATAAAAAGCTGAAACCCTGTCACTACTTCTGAAACCCTAATAATTGAATTTATAATTATAACTCGTCTGAAATTTGCCCAATACTAATTATATTCTTATAAGTGCTACATTGCATAAACATTGGCAAAAATATTCGATTTACATATGAATTTTCCCCAAAACATGCATATTATGGGCACCCGGTTTAGGGATTTACTTATTTGTGCCGATTATACAACCCAAAAGGAAGTTGAGTTGTAAATAAACAAAGTGCGTAAAGATACGTACGTACGCGGAAATTTAGGGTTAGGACGTTAACATTAGAGGCGTAACAACAAATTCTTACCTGTTATATTTCTCACATTTTTAATTAGTGCACAAAGATCGATTCAGACAATGCTTTTGGTTATTTTTTCTCTTATTCTTATTTCGCACGTGTTCGGAAACCATGTCGTACTGATCCGGAATGATATTTAGATTGGTCATTGATATCTGTACAAATAAATGCACTCGTGATTACGCTAGGTGTAAATTAGCGTAACCTTGAAGGAACCACAAAGTTAATTAGTAAATTTGGGGGAATTTGCATAAAGGCCTAAAAATAAAAATAAATAGGAGCCGGTTTTTTGGAAAATCGAGGATTTTTTGAATCTACTGCGCAGGCTGCGCAGCCTCAATCTCTAGAGACTTTTGCTTATTCGGTTTCGTATTTATAAATATAAAACATTTACTTTATATGTGTAAAGTTGAGCTCCATCATTTTTAATTAGTGCTCCAGGGTAGTTTAAACGTCAGTTTTCGTTTTTTTTTGCGTTTTTTTCACTTCTTTTCTGCATATCAGTATCAATAATTCTGGTCAATTTGCAGATCATTTGGCCAGATCTAGAACAAACCAATTTTAAATGTGGTCAAATGATCTGCACGTTTGACCAGAATTATGAACGATATTAAACAGGTGATGCTAATTCAAGCCTCGATTATAAATTTGACCAGAATTATACCATCTGGCCTGAATTATGAAAATTGCACTGCGCAGTGAAATACATTAATACAGTAATGATAAACATTAGATTTTTATTTTTATTTTCACATTGACTTTCCACTTTAATTTTCGCTTTGACTCTTCTTTCTTTGACTTTAACTTACATTTTTGTTTTCACTATGACTTTCGTTTTGACATTGACTTCGTTTTGACTTTTATTCTTACTTCAAGAATTTTTGCTGTGTTGAATTCACAAAAATATAGTTTTGATCGATCGTTTACATAAGCTATTTAAGTTCGTAAGTATTTTCTTCTTGTTTATTAATGTCAATTTATTTAGTAAATACAGAGGATTTTAATGTCGATAATGACCATAGCATATTATATCTTTTTATTTGTGTTATTTAGTTATGTATAAAAATCTTTTAATCGATGTGTTAAAATTCGTAAAGTCGTAGGTTTGTTAGCGAGCTTCGTGAATAGTACTTTTAGTTTTTCGTGTAAAAAAATTATTTATATCTTAAAGTTATTTTAGTGATATTGTATAATTATTTTAATCCGGCTACCTTGACGCTATGTAAGTCTTGTATTTGTAATAATTTCTGATTTTGAACCGTTATATGTAAAAAAATTTTTTTGGCCCTTATTTTTCGTTTTTGGGCCTTTATGTGTAAATTCCCTAAAATTTTTGGTGGTTTACGGAATTGAAATTGGGCCCTAAAAATGGTCCCCAAATACGGGTATTTACAAAAATTTTTGATCATTATAAATGAAACCCATTAGATAAGCGTAACCCATTAGAGATAAGATGGTTTAATTCTGTAAATCCACCGATATGTATCTTGGCAATACTTGACCAATTCCGGCCAAGCCTACCAGGATTCCGGTGTATTCTGATCCGGAATTCGGGAATCCCTCTGTATGAGTTCATTTTGTATGCATCTACATATTTGTTTTTTTTAAGCGTTATATTAATTTTGAGCCCCGGGCATTTCACTTCACCGACAGCCCATTTACCGCTAAGTTTATTTCACCGACAAAGTAACTCTGGTCATTGTAGTTAGGGCCGGGTTTGGAATTAAAGTTAAGTTTAGTGCAATTTTTTTAAAAAAACTTGGCGAAATAGCTGTCGGTGAAATTAACTTGGTGAATTGATTGTCGGTAAAATGCCACGGATCCTCCAAAATTGTTAAAATTGTTTATGTACGTACTGGTACGTACTGTACATACAAACCCCAATATTTTTAATTAGTATCAAAAAAAAAAATTTTGTACTCGTGTATCAGTATGCCATATTTACTTATCGAGTAAGTAATACAACGACCCTTATACGTATAAAACCTAGTATCCAAGTAACATTAATTTATTGGGCTCTATTAAACATTTTAAAAGCCATTGTTGGCTGTGTTTAAATTTTCTTTAAAAATTTAAATGAAAAAGGGGATTAAGAAGATTTTAAGTCCGAAATCAAGATTTTTAGATGCCGCTATTAAAGATGACAGTATAGCCATTTTTGAATTTACGTCATTTAAAAATATCAAAGAGGTTGGGAAAGGTAAGACATTGACTTTTTGAAGGAAATTGCATTTAAAATAATAAGGGGTTCAGAATTAAAGTGCGGGAATCTAATTTGGACAAAATAGATGACGTATTTATTTTCAAATGAGTGATGTATCAACTTTTTTCATTTCTGAGTTTCTAAACACCCCATTTCATTTCCCGATTTCAAACTTTTTGATACACAAATAAGATTTTTTTGAACTCACTTATTTCCAAAATACGCTGGGGCCCCTTAGTATGAAAGCAAAAACATCATGTTGAAATTAAAATCTGTTAAAATAAAACAACTTTCCAAAATCCTTCATTGGAATCTAATTATTCCATACTCATTTTATTACATATTAAATAATTTAAACCATTTCAAATATATAAGGTAGATTTGGAGTAGTTCATTCAGCTGACTACAATGAAAAAAAAGTCGCATTAAAATGCTTTTTCCATAGCGAGATAACTAAAGAATTTGTTAATGAGGTAATGAGTTATTCTTCACAACTGTTAGCATATAGACGGTTATTCAAACCTAATAAGTCATGTTTTTTATAGCTTAAACAACTTCGTCTTAGTAACTCTCATCCTAATGTGAATCAGTTCCATGGAATTACAATCGGTACTTTTAGTAATGAAATTGATGCTTCATAATTGTTATACAATTCATTCTATCCATTATTTAATAAACCTTTAGATCCTAAGACGGAGAATTTAATGTTAGTTCTACAGTTTGCCAATGGAGGGAATCTAGAAGATTATTTAAAAACAAAATGGAACGATGGTACTTTTAAAATTTCATTAAGTGAAATTATTAAAATTGCAAAGCAAATTATTCTCGGATTGGAGCATTTACATACCAAAAATATTATTCATGGTGATTTGGTATGCGTTAATTTTTCTAATATTTATTAGTTTTCGAAATGGTTTAAATCAATTGATAATAATATATATACATTGACAACTGTATATGGGAACGCCCCATAACAAAAACAGGGGATCGACTATATGTTGGGCTCTTTCAAGCAAAAAATTCGGACATTCCCCTGAACAGATATCTATTGCCTGACCACTATTGATAATGCGTCTCATGCTGTATAGAGAACAATTTGACCAATTATAATAGGCAGGAGCAAATATATATTGATACATATTTTGATACTAGGCGATTTTTCATGCCAATCCTTTATTATTATTTTTCGAATGCCGTTAAAAAAAAAAATTTGAAAAATGAAGAATTGACTAGTATCGATATGTATTAATATAATTGCTCGATTTGTTTTCTGTGCAGCATGAGACGAATCATAAACACTCATATGAGACGCATTACAAACAATGGTCAGGCAATAGATATCTACTCAAGGGAAGATTACTTGAAAGCGTTCATTATATAGTCCCATCCCCTGCCTTTTCTGACGGCATCCCCATATTCGAAATTAACAACTGTATGAATGATTGACACTTGCACGATTAATAGTGTTTTATACATTTTGATCAATGTATTTACGTATATGTGTACCTAGTTAGTCCAGTATACGTGTATACACTACATGCGAAAAAAATTTTTACCTCAAATTTCAACCATTTGAAAACAGTAATAACTAGCTTATAAATTATTTAAATTGAATATTTATTAATTTGTATAGCACCTTAAAAGTATTTTAAACCACGATGGTAAATTTATAATTACGGATTATGGATTATTAAGAAAACTTAATGACACTCCGATAGCTTCTGCTTTATCTTCAAATAGTATGTCATCACACATTGACCCACAATGTCATATTTCTTGGAAAAGGCCTGACAAAAAATCGGATATTTATAGCTTTGGCGTAATACTCTGGGAACTCACAAGTGGAACTTTGTCATTCGGAAATGTTGACAATAGATTTTCTGTATGTATACAAATATTGAAAGGCTACAGAGAAGAATCGATTCCCGGTACACCTTCAAATTACGCCAAACTTTACAAAAATTGTTGGGATGTTGTTCCGGAAAAGCGTCCATCAATAAACGAAATACTTAATGATCTTAATAAAATATTAGAAGATGCGAAAGTGGAGTTTATTACAAATCGTGAAAGACAACCTAAACCTATTTTAGCCGATGATTTAACTGATGTTTATTCACGTGATTTATTAACAGTTGAACCATCTACGCTGATAATTAAAGGACCTACTAATTCGAGAAATTTAAAAGTATCTTCGCCTAAATCAATATTATCGCGACACCATGAAAAGTTAGAACCAAATGATTTAAAATTTCAAGGATTAGTTTATTATGAAGCAAAAAATTATGAAGCGTCTCTCGAATTTTTAAACAAATCATTAGATGTCAATTCGGATGATGCGGATGCTCTGAAATTCAGAGGATTAACTTATTATAAATTAAAAAAATATGAAAAATCTATTTCAGATTTCAATAAATCACTACATATTACAAATGATATAATTGTATTAATATGTCGAGGACAAATAAATAGTAATTTAGGTCGCTACAATGAGGCACTAATAGATTTAAATAAAGCGCTAAAACTTGATCCGAATAATTCGTTTGCACTGAGATGTCGAGGGCAAACCTATTACATGCAAAAAAAATATAAGGAATCACTTATAGATTTAAATAAATCATTAGAATATGATTTGAATAACGCAGATGCACTAAGGTTACGAGGGCAAACATATTATATGTTAAAAGATTATGAAAAGGCTCTTTCAGATTTAAATAAATCACTAGAACTTGATCCTAATAATGCAGTCACGCTAAGATTTCGAGGACGAACATATTTAATATTTGGACGTTATGATGATTCTCTTACAGATTTAAACAAATCATTAGATATTGATTCAAAAAATGCCGATGCATTACAAATTCGAGGTCAAATTAACTTAATTAAAAGGTCCCCTAATAAACAACTCAAAGATTTAAATAAAGAGTTAAATTTTGATCCCAAAAGTATCGAAGGGTTACAATTTCGAAGTAAAATCTTTTTTAAGCAAAGGGACTTTAGAAATTCTCTTAATTATTTAAATAAAGCAATGGAAATTGATCCAAAAAATGCAAGTACTTTAAGGTTACGAGGACAAACATATTATTGTATGGAAAAATATGACAAAGCTAATGAAGACTTAACAAAATCATTAAAAATAGAGCCAAATAATGCCTTTGCATTAGGATATCGGGGACAAGCAAAATATCATTTAAAACATTACAAAGAATCGCTTGTTGATTTAGATGAATTGATTAAATTAGAACCGAATAATGCAGATGCACTAAAATTTAGAGGAAAAGCGTACTATATGCTCAAATGCTACGATGAATATGTTGCAGATTTAAATAAATTATCAACAATTGATCCATTTTCAGCCAGTGAATTAAGAAAGATAGAAAAAACATATAAGCTTAATCGATACGAAATATGGTTTGACGCTGCAATTTCAGGACATCACATAAGGGTTTTTAAATATGATGAATTTAATAATTTAGAAAAAATTGATGAGGGAGGATATGGAACCGTATTTAAGGCAGACTGGAAAAATCACGAACTTCCTGTTGTCCTTAAAAGTTTGAAGGCTAATAATATTCCAATTGTTAAAGAGGTATTATTTAGTTTCAATATGAAGTGTTTAAATATAAGATTTATTAATATATGTTTTTTATAGCTTCAGCTTTTGCTAAAAGTAAGTTTCCACCCCAACATAAATCAATTATATGGTGTGACTAAAGGTATGTATTTTATATATATGAAAATAAAACAAATTTGCAGACAGATATAGGTTTTATGTTTACTAATATGTTTTATATGCTTTATAGATTTGGAACCGGTTTTTCATATGTTAAAACCAATTAAAGCTATTTTTGACATATGAAAATAGAACCGGTTCCAAACTCTATCATTATATTACATGCCAATAGATCACTCTGGACTTTATAGTTTAGTTTTACAATATGCCGATAGTGGAAACTTGCGAGAATATCTTAAAGCAAATGAACTGAAATTACAATGGATAGATAAACTACGCATCGCAAAAGAAATAGCACAAGGTCTAATGTTCTTACATAATAATAATATTGTTCATAGAGACCTAGTAAGTATGAATATTTGTAATTATTAAATGGTTTAATTTACTAAGTTATAAATGTTTTATAGCATTCCAAGAATATCTTGGTTCATGGTGGAAGTATGATGATTGCAGATTTTGGCTTGTCTTTCAGACAGGATGATGAGTTAATTGTTTCAGGAGTTCATGGAATGCCTGCGTATCTAGAGCCACAGTACATTAAAAACCCATCATATATAATTGATAAAAGATCTGACATTTATAGTTTCGGTGTAATTCTTTGGGAAATTTCAAGTTGCAAGCCTCCATTTCAATCATTTACACTTGAACATGCCATTGCCATTCAGATATTTCAGGGAAAGCGAGAAATACCTGTTAAAGATACCCCACAAGAATATGTCGAACTTTACCAAAAATGTTGGGATGATGATCCTGAAAAGCGCCCAAATATAAAAACTGTATATGAAATTTTAAGTCCAGAAAGTCCTATTGAAATTATAGCACAACCTTCAGGAGGATGGCTTGAAGATGCTATTCAAAATAAGCAAATTAAGTATTACAATTATGAAGAATTTATAGATGTTGAAGAAATCACTGAAGGATTGTTAGTTTCTATGTATAAGGCAAAGTTGAAAAGTTCCGGATCAAAAGTCGTTCTTAAATATTTTAAGATTAATAAAAACTTGGAAAAAGATGTTTCTGAAAAGCTCATTAAAGAGGTTTATTTAATTCATGCAATCTTAAATATTTTCTAATATAAGTATTAATTTTATGTATTGATTTCTGTTTATAGATACAACTTTTACAAGATTTGGAATTTCATCGAAACGTTATTAAATTTTATGGAGTTTCAAAAGGTATATTTTCATGTTTATAAATATTTATATACCTTTATGAATAAATGTGGCGACTTATGCTGAGATCTGGAGTCATCAATCAAATCCCCAATAGCTACTAAAATTCACACATACTTTTTTATTATAAATACTAACCTTAATTTCTAACCTAACTATAAAAAAAGGACTACAAAAATGGCACAAAAAATTTTGAATTTCGATAATAAAATAAGTCAAATTCCCAGCATAAGCTGCCACAATAAATGCTTTCTAAATAGATTTAAATTATATAAATTAATTGCAATTTTGTCTATAATAAATAGAGCCTGACGGGCGTTATATTTTGGTTTCTCAATTCGCTGAAGGCAGAACTTTAAACAAATATTTAAAAGATAACCAAAAATTGGAATGGATAGATAGACTATGCATAGCAAAAGATATTGCGACAGGTCTTGAATTTTTACATCAAAATAATATTGCACATCTAAATCTTGTAAGAAAAATTTACGTATCACACGAATCAATCTTGCGATTATTTTATTTTTTATAATAACTAATATTTTTAATGCTTATAGCATCCAAATAATATTTTATTTCATGAAAACAAAATGATGCTTGCTGATTTTGGATTATCCAATTTATATGAGGTTTTAAAAACTTCAAAAACAACTTCGCAAGAAATGCCTGCATATTACGAACCAGAATGGATTAAAAATTCTTTATATGAACGTGACAAAAAATCTGATATATACAGTTTTGGAGTAATCCTTTGGGAAATATCAAGTGGTAGACCTCCATTCGGCAAAATGTCAAACTTTACAGTTGCCATTCAAATATTTGGAGGTAAAAGGGAGACCCCTATAGATGGTACTAATCCCGAATATGTTGAACTTTACAAAAGATGTTGGGATGAAGATCCTTCGAAACGTCCAGATATAAAATACATTCTTAATATTTTAGACAAGCTTATCGAAAATGAGAAGGTAATTCGCTAATTTATATTTTATTAATTGTTGCATTATGTGTTTGATATTACTTAAATATCAATTAAAGTAATTTATATATGCACAATAATATGAATTTCAAAAATAAAGCATGGAAATAAACTGACAACCTAACGCTAAGTCAATATGAGTATTTGCAAATAACAAATTTACTAATTGGCGAGTTGTTTTCTTATTGTTTTGGGTTTAGCTCGAATTTCTTTAACCTTCTCTCTCTTGGCTTGTTTACGACTACCAATGTATCGTCCCAGGCACCTTCGCCAAAGAGATCACCACTAAGACAATGATGGAAAGTCATAAAAATTTTTATAAAAATGACTATAATGGCATGTCATTTTAAAATAACAATGTCATTTATTCTAATAAAAATTTTATACTAAACCATGACAAAATGACAAGTCATAAAAAATATTTTTATAAATAACACTAAAATGACAAATAAACGACAATAATACCAATACTAAATATCTTAAACACCAAACTTCTATGTGAAGAACAATTCTTAAATATCCTTTAAACTGCTTAGTTATACTTCTAAATGTTTGTATAGTTTAATATATATATTTGTATAAATTTTAGTATGTTGTTTTTATAAATATTTATATTTTAACAACTGGTAATAAGAAAAGGATATAAAGTATTTGTCATATCTCTATCATTTAATTTTGGGTCCGTGCGTTTTAACGTTTTTGATTGGTCGTATCTACAAAACGTGAATTGTGCGTGGGAAATTTCAAAGTTTTATCAGTTTTATTAACAATTAATGGTTTGACATAGCTTAAATGGTCATGATAAGTAAGTGTGGGAAAAAATGATTGAATTATGAATATCGACGTTTTAGTAAATTGGTTAAATATTTATTAAATGATATAGATGATGGATATTGCGAAAATTGGATCGGCAAGACCTGAATTGACCAGAACTATCCAGTTTTAAACGTAATTACTATTGGGTATCACGTTTTTAAATTCTAACGTAATTATTACGTATTAATATAAATTGGTAAATGAATTAATAAGCTATTTGTAATTAAATTTAATAGCGTCATTGTGTTTTATAGTAATTGATAGAATGACAAAATAGTAAAAATTGTAATGATCGAAGGATGACATATGTAACTTTTTGACATAAAAAATGTAAAAACACGTGACTTATAAATAGTTTATTGAGACTTGCTTAAATAATATCATGTATAAATTAACCACTTTAGTGTATAAATAAATAACAACTTTCATTATTTTCGCAATTGTGTAATAATTTCGTAATTATAATTAAGTTCGTTTAAAAATAATGATGTGAATTTAGTGAAAAATATTAAGCTACAAATTCTTACGTGTTGATATGGATTAACCTATACACTTAATTTGTAATTATTTACTGTTGATAATAATATTTAATATTTAAATGATTAATGTTTGACTGTTAATCTATACTATCGTACAAAAATTTATTCTGTTATAGGTCTTACCTCTTTCCTGTATACTTGCATTAAGAATGCCACCTTTTTGTAGATTTCAATCACAGACAGCTAGGGAACAACAAGCTGCCAATGCTTACCAAATGAAAATATTTAGACAAAAACCTTTGACAAAAAACCAATAATACTATTATAAAATTGACTGTAATTTTCAAGAAATGACAAATTTTATTCAACACTGCTTTACAGATATTCGGATTTGTTCATATTGTAATGCAAAGTTTTTTTTGACTGAAACACAAAAAATGTATTGTAAATCAGGAAAAATTAAGTAAATTGCTTAATTATTACTATTGAACAGTCTGGACATTGTATCATTTATAACTATTAATTGATTACTACTAAATGTTACTAATATATAAATTATAGACTAGCATCGACAGACAATATTATAGAACTAAGAAATTTATATTCAACACTGCTTTACAGATATTCGGATTTGTTCATATTGTAATGCAAAGTTTTTTTTGACTGAAACACAAAAAA